ACAAATGTGAATTTAGAAATCCAATTCTGAATGACCTAACTTAATATCATCCCTTCAAACAGTGCATATAGTATTTCTGAAAACACGAAACTTTTTTCGAAAAAAAAAATAGCAGCAGCACCAAATTAAATTTGTATTCCAATTTTGAACGCGCTGCCTTCATCTCCTGCATAACAAATCGACCTGTTGGTCTACTGTGCTCTACTGACTCAGTCGCCTGATCCTCGTTTGTGAAAACTATGTCCACCACGTGAACGAGATGCTGTTCCTCGCCTTCTATTTTCCTCAAGCCCAGAAATTCTAGAGGAGCTCAAGACAGACAGACATTTTTAAAATGTTACAATGTTTTCGTTGAATTCAGGGATTATTCACGTCCTCTTCGAAAATAATTGTCACAAAAATAAACACCGCAAAGATAATTCGGATGATGTTACAGCCTTCATCCCATATCTAAATGTAAATCTCTTCGCGCGAAAGCCATTAACTTTTTCCTTGGGCACGCAAAACCAGATACAACGGTCTACAAGACTGGACACAAATGGTAAACCGCGAATACCAGGGCTTCCTGAGTGTCGAAAACCGCAGATGGGCACGTGATGGGACCCACAATAATTCATTGACACCGTCACACCATCAGTTTCTCGACGCCATATAGTCTGAGTTACTAATAGAGCGTCTTTAAACAACAAATAAATAAACAGACTGGGTTGTCTCTCTCAAAGTACCAGAAGAATTACACGATTTATCTCATCTCGCGCGTGTTCAATGCAACTGGCAGCCTCTCATTAGCCTGTTCGTTAGGGGCCAGAATTGATTTGTCAGGGTGGGGGGCGGGTCCTGTTGCCTATTGGCTGGGGGGCGTGTCCTGCTGGAGCCAGTGGATGCTGTTCATCTGATCTGCACTGTGCAGACGGCAGCCGCCCCGACCGGACGAGAGGTACGTACTGTGCATCTTTTGCCAGGTAAGTTCACAACCTGCGGTCTGAATTTCCTCCGGTGGTTCGCGACTACCTTTCAAGCACATTATTAGGGTCGAGCACGGATTAGAGAGGTTAGAAACGGTCCCATGACCACCTGCCTAGCCTATAAACCTATTTCTTAGTAAAATATCATCATTATCATCGTTACTACAGTTATTCTCACCCACCTATCTCGCGTTCCGTTTATTCTGGGGCCTGTTATAGGAAAGTTACAGCCTACACAAAACTATTCAGTGCTTAATTCTCAGATTCAAGCACTCGTACTTTACCGGGGGAATTTCTTACTGATCGTAACGTATATCTTAAACGTCTATCGTACTTTTTAATTGGAATCCTTTAAAGCTTCACAAGGAAACCAGATTTTCCTCGAAATTTTGAATCGGTCTACGTTTAGGAGATAGGAGTTGAAGGAAACTGGATTTTGTTGGCCCAGGACAGGGTCCGGTGGAGGGCTTTGGTTAATTCGGTGATGAACCTTCGGGTTCGGTAAGCCATCTAGTTAGTTAGTTAGTTTACGTTTAGGAGACGCTTACAGAAACATATTCGACATTGTTCTTAGTAAATTTAAAAATTCAAGAAATAACATCGGTTCCAACAGATGATAGTATTATAACTAAGTTATACGATTATGAAATTATTAGTAGTTGATGGCTAATTTTTTAAACACGATTAATAACAGTTTTACAACAGGGTTAAAACAAATCGAGATGGAATCCCACCAAACTGTACGATATGTGAAACACTACACGAAGCGATCAGAAGGCGGTGGATTCCAATCGTTCGGAAGTCGCCATCAAACATTCATGGTATTGGTCTCGCCGGACTGAATAATTCCTCGAACCTTGAGTATTCACAGCGCGTAGCTTTTACTGCATCTGTAAATCTACACATGTCAACACCGCAGAATTAGTCCTTTCGCCATTAAATATTAAATGAATCACGGCCCCCCGAGGATACCTACAGTAAAATCTCAGCATAGTTGATCTTTACTCTCAACAGCTCCTTTTCACATTTGTTTCGTTGAGGAAACGGAAATGAACTCCTTACGGCGTGAGTCCGAGGATGGCTGACTTCCGGGTAGTCTTATAAAAGTTTCAGAGGTCCTTGCTGATGATGGAGGCAGTATGGACCTCTGAAACGTTGGTAAACTTACACGGCGCTACAATCCATAAGACAACCATCGTCAATCTGGGCGTGTCTGGATTAAAAATACGACATTAATAAAAGATTTTTTAAAACTTTTTGGATTTTTTCGATTCATAAATTTCGCAGCAGGCCTAATCACGCATGTGCAGACGCACGCCATGGACCTACCGCGTTTATTTCCGTGTTGCAGTGCGAGGAGCGGAGTTATATTTCGGGTGTTTATGGTGTTCGTATTTGGGTACCTCGCCCACGAATCTGTCGGTGCTGGAGCCTGATACCGGGGTGTGTCGGAACTCGTTCGATACGAATGGCCACCTCATCTGTGCTGAGAGACGCGTCGCTTTGATGCACGAGACAGAATGGCTCCCAGGGGAAGTCCCGCCCGCTCTGAGGGATTACCCGCAGCTGTGCCGCCACGACTTTCCTCAGATCCTCCACGCCCGTGACCCTCGTAGCAGGCTGCAGAATGCGGGGGATATTAATACAAATATGACCACAGTAATCCTAACAGCCCCAGGATCTCTGCTAAGTCCGCACAAACACAAGGAAGGTCGCTTGTTTGCCTAACATGTCTCCCACTTTACCATGATAAATTGTTTATCTAAGCGCTTTATCCATCTGTACTCCGTAGACGTAACAAGATTCTACGTAAATAGAAGGGAGCAAAGTACATTGCGCGTAACCCTCATATTTGCTGTAAGTGTCGACAGAAAAATCGACTTCTGGTCGCCGTAGGTGCCAAATTATTTTTGACACACGTGGCTTCTGAAAAGAGCCTATTAGTCTATATAATTTATTCCATGGAACAGAGTCCTTATTAAGAAGATAACTGTCGCTCAGTTAGACACAAAAATATCGTCCATGTTATGTAACCTGAATGTTCATTACCGCTTTCACAACACCCCACCCCTGAACCCTTATACTGAGGTGCGTACATTAACCCAGTACACGATCTCCCGATCCATCTTCCCATCTATGTCTAGGTCTCGCAAGTGATTTCTTCCTTTCTGGTCTTCCGGGCAAAATTTTGTGTGCATTTATATTCTCTTACGTTTTCCGCGCATTTCATATTCATCAGTTGGATCTACTTGGACCTACTCTCTACGTTTTTTTTTATAAATTACCGTAAAATAGTTTGGTCCCTCTAGTGTGTAGGCTGGACAGACTGAGAAAGACCACGATAAACTGAACAGCCGATCAACGAGGTAAGATTAAAAATCGGGATATTCCATTTACCAAGTAGAAATGACATGCATTCATCCACAAATGTTGATAACGGGAATTTGAATGTGGATTGTGGTGTTATGGAATGTGCCACCGTTTAGCCTTGCACGTGGTTACCAACGTCTCGGAGGAACGTGCAGCCTACACCTGCAAGATTACAAGATATCACAACGCAGATCACCATACACGTTTCGACCTGCTCATAGTTCATCATATCATCGATTACGATACCTTTCTGGAACATTCAAAAACGCATTTCCCTTTCAAAGAGTTAGGTCAGGTCTGGAAACTTATGAAGGAAAATACCAGATTTCTACCAACAAAACTTCCTATATGTTATGGACTGAGATGTATAACAATTCTATACACACTTCAACCTTCCGGTAATAAGACATTCTGCCGCCTACGTCTCTGGTGGGAGGGAGTTGTAGAAACTTCTATCGTTTGGGTAATTCAATAATAAATCTGTTTCTGTTTGCTAGCCTGGAGCCGAGAAGGGATGAACTGTGAGCTGCTGACACCTACATCCAGCACTGAGAATTACAACAGAGAGAATCACCACAACAATATAAACAACTGCACATCGCTGCATCAGAGACGAAGGTAACAAACAATGACCTTGACTCAACTCGCCATAAGAATTAGTGTTCTGTACCCAGACTGGAGGCAGTATGGACCTTCCTGGGGTCTCGGGTTCGATTCCCGGCGGTGCCCGAATTTATAACTTGTGTTGGGCAAGGCCGTGGTCTAGGCAACACGGAGTTTTCCTCCGGGGGCTTCCCCGGTTTCTCCGTGGCATCCCAACAATTACTCCATTCACACACAGAAGAAGGCAATGGCAAACCACTTCTGGATCATCTGCCAAGAACGTATATGAACAGGTCGCAGTCCGAGAAAAGGATGGAAGGATCCTGTTCATATGGACCTGTCGTCAGACAGAACACTAAATAAATAAAATAAAATACCCAGACTGGGGATTCCCCACCCAGCAGAAATGCGTGTAGGTTTTCATTTAATTGTCCGATTTTAACAGAAGGTAGGAAATGCGGACAAATTTTAGTTAAATGTTAAATTTAACGAAAATCCGTTCAGTCTATCTCGAGTTGCTAAATGTGGACAGACGTACAAAACTTGGCGAAACTAATGCGAGCATTTTTGTGACTTTAATTTCGAACTCACTTAAAAAACCAGAACACGGGTCTGTAGGCCTACGAAGAGGCGCCTACTTGTAAGGCCTACACCGATTTAAATATTTCCATGGAAACGTATAATTTGAGGTACAGTGCTGTACGGGTTTACTGCAGCTAGTTGTGCTATCCGGCGTGTTCCCTCTTTCAGAACACGACTGTACTTCAAGCGGTTTATGCAGGTGGGACATAAATGTCAGTACTTGTTGCATGTCAACCCGAACCTCGTATTGACTTTACAGGGGCCACCCTCACGATCAACAAAATTGCGTGAACATGGGCCCTATACTTGCCACCCGGCGTCACTTCATGCACAAACGCTCGACGTCGTATTTTTCTTATTTTATTTCTACAAAACGTCGGTCGTAAACCTTGAAAGGAAGAGACCGCTTGAGAGAACTAAGCACACATGGGAGGATAATATTAAAATGAATATTAAATAAACGATGTTTCAGTATCTTGATTGGATTTATCCGACTCGGGAAGGGGGTCTGGTTACGAGCTTTTGTGAACACGATGATGAACCACAGGGTTATATAAAATGCAAATAATTTCATAAGTAGCTGAAGATCCGCTGGAAATCTGTAGTTGTAATTTTTGCCGCAGGGAGAAGGAGATGGGAGCGTTGACCCGCGAGGAGAGACGCCGGCGTCGGAGGGCGACGCAGAAGTACCGAACGGCTCACGCCACGAGGGAACGGATCAGGGTGGAGGCGTTCAACGTGGCGTTCTCCGAACTGCGGAAACTGCTACCCACTTTGCCCCCCGACAAAAAGTTATCCAAGATAGAGATTCTCAAACTGGCCATATGCTACATCGCCTACTTAAATCACGTTCTCGACGTCTGAACAAAACCAGGATTGCCTGCACTCCTCATTTCTCGGCTACAGTATTTGATCTTGGCAACCGACACACGTAGTTACAGATTAATTGGTACAAGGCGGCGAACGAGAGATCTCTAAGGTTGCGACGTTGCGAGGTCTTTCCATTCAAATTCCTCACATAATGTAGGGCCTAATGCTAATTAATATATTGTGCAATACTTTTAATTTATTATTCTTGTCATATTATTTATTATAGTTCGTTGATTCCAGTTAGATTCCTCCCTCCACCCCGAAGTAATTAATTGTTTTTATATTGTGTACATATCCTTTGACCGCAGTTTACTTTCATAACGTTTTACATTATTTTACAATAAGTGCAATGTTTACGTAACGTAAATTTTTAGTATTATTTATATATTGTTAAAAACTAATTTTTTTACGATACAATACGACATTTATATATTGTTTTGTGAAACGTGTACATATCTGATTGTATTGTTGAGTGTGAGTGTTATTAAATTTGTGTTTTTACATATTAAGTAGGCTTATATGATGTGAGAATGGTAGTTTTTGTGTTAACGTAACAAAAACTCGAATCCCGGAAGATTAACCCTCCATGAGCACAGCCACTCTAGAGGAGATAATAGTGTCTAAGCTAGTCAAATAACCAGTCGCCCTTTACTGAATCAGTAGGTAATCTTTATACTCACAACAGCTCGTCACTGGATCGTATCCTGTGCCAGATAAATCCGCAACATCACTCTCTGTATCTCTCAGATCAAATTTAATTACTACTCTCAAAATATTGATATCATTACCAAGGGGACTGTACGTAACACGCATGAGAAACGAGAATTGCAAGCACAATTTTGGTCTGGAAAGTTTAAGGGAAGGCATCACGTGGGAGAAGTGGATGTTTATCGGAAAATAACATTAAATGAACTCCAGTTTTCTTACTCTACGATTTAGCTATGTTAATTACCGTCTCAAAATGCATCACAGCAACAAAAATCACAAAGAGACGTAACAATTTTGCCTTTTCTGACGTTGGACGCCCTCCACGTGCCACTTACTGGAGATTGTACTGACATCCCAAGAGATCTGGAATTTGTAACATGTCCTCTACCCGTGACCTCTTCTATTTGGACATTATTTCACGGTTCCATGCCATTCTTCCACCCCCTCGTCACAGCTGATCGCCTTTCCTACATTGATCCCAATTCTGTTCAGTAATTGTCTTCGCCCGATTTCATTGGTTCAAGGGAGTGAGGGCAGAATTCTTGCCAGCAGTTTCATTGCACAAATAAAAAATCTCATGTGCTCCGAGGTCAATTTTTGATTAATTTATTCTCCTGAACTATCATATTTCGTAACGCGAATGGTAGTCCATTATCTTTAATGATAATATTTGATTTGTTTACTGATATTCATGGACAACTTAACTTTCGATTTTGGTCTCGCAGGTAATTATAAACGTTTCTGAGGAACGTACCGCCTCCCTCTTCATAGTACACTTCACTTGAAGACGGGACGCGTCGCTGTATTTTAATTGTCCCACTTCGTAATTTAAATAAGAAACAAATCGAAAACGCCAGTGAGGAATTTAAAACAGAAAAAAAAAAGATTACTCTAAATTCGAGCAAAACTTTCTGTAAATGTTTTAAGAAAAAATAGTAGCGAGGTAGACTATTACTTTTCAGATCAACGTATAGAATCCCCTTAAAATACGAAGCAATTTCTGACCCCGATTAACCTTCCCAAGACAGAGTTATTCAGAACAAATCTCTCTAAACCAACGTACAGTATAAAATGTGTATTATAATACGTAGCAGGTGTCAATTTAAACATTTTGCAAATCCCTTTTTATCTCACGATAAGAACGAATTTATAAACGGTACATACAACCAAAAATATTGCTATTTTAAGAGCTTTACCCTTCGTTGACTCAGTCTCACTTCGCGGGAGAAGACCACGAAGGTTCATTGGTTAACAATTTCCACAGCCTAATTGCCGTTTTCGGGGCGTCCATATTGCATCTTGCAATCAACACTTTGGCACAGCGCTCGATCGATCGGGTCCCTGCGGAGGACCGAAAGGGACCCAGCTGCACTGTGCGCCATGCAATTTAATTTGCCCGTTAAGTGAAGACGCGCCACACTCCCTGAATATCGGTCTGTCGGGCACGATCCAATAAGCAGTCAAAGTTCGAAGTTTTAATTTGCCTTACACCAAAAACGCCTGTCTTAAAACACCAAGTGTACGAGGTTTGATCGAGAAGCTGACAGTTTCTGAGCTGGTCATGAAATTCCTCCCCTTTGGGACCCACGTAGCTTCCTGTCCAGTGGGTAAGAGGTCCTTAACTGTGGAGCGGGAAGTCAACCGGTCACCTCCATCCTGGAGCTATACGACCGCTCCCACCCCATAAGTTTGCACTGCAAAACTTAACGCTGAGGCCGACCCAGATCACATATTCATAACCAATTCCTGTACCATACATTTTAATATTATCCTTCCATCAACATCCAGGCCTCTAAGTAATCCCTTCTCTTTAGGTCTTGACTGAAATTTGTATGAATTTCCCCTCTCCCTCATGAACATCGTAAATTCAGTGCAAAACATTTTCCTTAGTCAGTGAACGGTGCAAGAAATGGACCTCCCCTTCATGCGGTTTCATCGAACCTCCCTCTTTGGTTAAAATATTTTCCTCGCGATGTGATCAAATTTCATAAAACAAAAGTTTCATAAGCCGTAATTAAGAAATTGTTAGACACAAGATGGGAAGATAAAATACTTCAACTGTGAAGTTGAAGTTAAATGTCGTAATTGATGTTATTTGTGGTGACTCCAAGCATCACAACAGCTTCAAGGGATTTATCATAACAAAATTTTAATTACTATATGATAGCCATTGCAAAAATAGCAAAATAATTGTAACGACGAATTTAGCTAGGTGACCTCCGACCTACTTTACTCACACATCACAGTGCTAGCGACCTTTGTGAACGCCCCGATGCCTGCAAGATGAGGCAGCAGCCGTGGCTAATCTGGAAATTGGTGCAAATGAGGAAAATTGCAAGAAATTCCAGATATGAGACTTCCCGGTCAATATCGGAATCA